AAGTAGAACCACAAACATTCGTCTTCCAATTTTTACTGCCAAGCAGAATTCGCAGCAGGATTAAACAACACCTCGCAGTATTCATCGGGCACTTCCAACTCCTGTGATCCACCGCAGGTTTCGCGAAAATCGCGCAAAGGATCGCAGACTCTGACGTCAGCCTTAGGTCGGTTTCAAGCTCGGCGTTTACAAGCACTGTCGCTATCGGCAATGTGCGTCAAGGGGCACTATTGTACTACATATTACAAACCCAGTGGGAATGAGATGAGGCAACATTTTTTGCTGAAATTTCTCCCTTGGTGCTTGATCACGAATGTGGCAACCATTTCTAGCGCAGGCGCCAAATTTTCGCCACGGCTGTTTTCACCAAATTCGCTGTAAACTTGTGTATGGGGGTTATTTGAGGTCCTGATTACGAATATGACACTCGTTTTTATTCATAGCATTCTCTTTAACGCTATTTTCTGATTTTGTGGGCTCTCTCACTTGCAGAAGTGTATGGGATCGTGTGTGGGTGGCTTACTCACTCTGAAATCCTCTCCTTTCTCAAAGGCTTAGTTCCTGGTTGCGAACTAATTAGTGAGAGGGCGCAGACGAGCAGGAAATAGCGCCGAATAGCGCCGTCGACAAAATAAATGTCATATTCGTAATCAGAGCGCCCAAAATCGTTGTCATATTCGTGTTAGAACCCTCGATCACCACATGGGAGAAGCTCGGAGAAAAACTGATCCATCCCGCCCCTACTGTGGGCATCCAAGGTAAACCCCGAGTCTGATACTTACCTAAGGCAAGATTTTGATAAGTTTTCATAAATGTTCAGATCCTTATGGCCAGGACTTCATGCGCTTTCGACCCAACCGAGTTTCCATCCTCATAGGTAAAGAACCCCAGATCATAGACAAGCTCGTCCGAATGTTTTCATTCAGAAAGGAGAATGGCGATGATTTTGCAACTTACGTATAATGTCCATTGGTAGCTACCTCCTCTGCAAGCTGCTAAAAAATGCGTGCGCGCATGAGTGATGGCCATTCGGCCACGTTAGTGGAACGAACTTTAGCCTTGGCTTCACTGGTTGAAAGCGAAACTTTCCATTTGAAGTGCTAGTAAAAGTGAACATAAATAGATATATTATGTTCTTTTAAGTTACGATTCCATTCTAGAGAGAGCAGTGCTCGAGCTCGACCAGAATGGCTGTCCATATTCCATTATGTTTCGGAATGCGTTTGTTGCAATGTTAAAGACGCAGTGCGTCTGCCACTCCGATCTCAGTATTATCATCATGACGACGCATCTGACTTCAAAGCTAGGCATTTGTCGTGGGATTACGTGGAATCTATTGCCGAAGATGTTCGCATAGCTCATGAAGTTTGTGAATGTGTGAGTAATTATTTTCTTATTCGAAGTCGGCGAGTTTTCCTCTAATTCCCATTCCAATTATTTTTCTTTGAATAACATTCACTTTTGTGATGAGCGTGGACTCTAATTTACACTGTTTTCATCTGCTTTCTGTAAAAGCCTCCAAAATGTGGTTATAGTCGACAGCAGAATGACATGAATATTGTCAAAAAGTGATTCATTCTTATTAGCTTTGGATTTAGTTGCGGAATTACTCGATTAGCTTAGCTGTTCGTTCGTCCAGCGAGGGGATTTGACGCGCTTTTTTTTTTTAGCTTCCGATCACTTTTTGTCGCTTCGAATCTTTCCTAACTCTACATAAAATTCCATTGACTGTCTGCGAGTATTATGTCCAATGAAATCAATTCTATGTGAACTTCGTTTGTCTCGCCGTGGCGCTCTTCCTGCCTTTACAGTTTCGTCTAGCATGGTGATTAAGTAGTTCCAACGGCAGTAAAAGGGTAGACCATACTTATTTGCGCGGCATTGTATGTGAAGATCTTCAGTAATTCGATATGAAGAAACAACAACGAAACCTATGACGTTGTTTTTATTTTTTGAGCAATCGTTCCTAAATATTACAAACAGGAAACAATGATGAAGCACTTCGCAGATCATCTTAGCTTTTGCAAAGCACTCTTATTCGAATAGTCTCGTGGCATAAAGCTTCATCTTTCTGCTTTGTATAGCTCAGAAACTGATCAAAAACTGTAAGCGGTCAGAAGAATAGAAGCCTTACTCAGTTGTTTAGTGTCTAGGTAGGCTGAGTATTTAGTGCGGGATCAGCACTTTTTTCAACGAAGGAATGAATTAACTTTTGCTTCCTCTTCAATTGATAATCAAAATGTGAGATATTTCGTTGCTTCTATTATACAGTAGTGTTGAACACGTGATTGAACTTCAAAGGAGTGGGTGAATGCGGACGTTAGGTATGAGGGGTGTGTTTTTCAAGAAGAAATGTCTTTTTTTGAGGAACATTTTCATTTTATTTATTTATTTATTTATCTTCATGGTAGAAGTGGTATCTAATAATTATCATTTAGGATTCATTCTAAGACGCGCTTCTCATTATTTGATGCATAAGTAAGTATGAAGATGTGCGCGGTCATACGAAGTTATTACGGTGGAGCTCTTTAAACTTTCTTGTTAAATCTACTTCTCTTTGCTCAAAATCTATTGTTGCTGTACTCATTTAGCCTCCGTCTGTTGTCGTGGAAGTGAAATCATCGGCTCAAGATATGGCTATAGTGCTGCAGCGAGCGCGATTTGTTGCGTCGCTTATTGAACAGTTGTTGACTTACAGCACTTGGCCTGCACAGGAAGTTAAAGTCGTTGCTAACAAGGATGTCGCGAACGATGATTGCCCGAAAACGTCTAGATCCAAGGATTCTCTCGAAGTCATAGTGAGCTATTGTCTTTCTTCCTGCCTGCGTCAACGTTCAGGTTTTATTTGGCCTTCTTTCTGATCTTGAAGTTGAACAAGGCTGCTGGCCACTCAAAATAAAAATCGTGACAAAGCCGATATTCATGAAGAAAGATGGGTAGTGGACAGTAAGCGATGCAGTGTATTCGAAATAGAGCTGTATGGCTATCGTTCGATTTTCTTCTTCAAATGCTGTTGTACTGACCACAGCAATTCCAGTTTAGGTCATATTGAACAACCCATTGTGGGTAGGATAGCGTAGCCCGCGAGTATTTTATTTAACACATTCACGACCACTTTTCGGTCGCGTGGGACGGACGCGATTTTGTGGGCGCCGCCGCCTCACCACATAACCGCAGATTTTGTTTTGTAAATGAACAAAAACATGAATGTCACAAAATAATTTCTGCAATGTCCAATGCGTAAAGATTATCTAAACATATAACAGTAGGATTTCGATCAGAACGACAAATAGTGGTTACGAAAAGAGAGCATTTATTCACTTTCCCCGTGAAGGAATTTAAAAGCATTTTACACTCGATTACGAGGTTTGCCCACCTATCTGTCCATTCCTAGCGCCTGGCAAGCGATTATCAGTTGGCAGCCCATATGGGCTGCCATCGTCCCAGGAGCGCATGTTGTTGGCAGCCCATATGGGCGGCCATCGGCGTGAATGTGTTAACACGTTGACGACAGCGTGACGCGGTAACGCGTCCCACTTTGCGCACCTCGTGGGACATTGTGACGCGGTAACGCGTCCCACCCAAGTCATCCCTTTTTCTTGCGCTTGTGCGACTTATTCCTAAGGTCTTTGTACTCATTCTATAGGCCATACATTAGCATACTTAAAAACCACATGGCTCACAGAAAGGCCAAATATTCTTTAGTTTGGCAGAGGTTTTCCAGACCTTACGGATATGTCTGTTCAGTTCATTCCTCGTTTTCTTTTCATTAACGTAAACATGTTGATAAAAAGGAATAATAGAAGCGAATACAAACCTATTCGTATGGGAAGATATGTGTTTTTACTGAAACAACCACGTCCAAATTAATTTTGGAACCACTAAAGGGAAAGTAAGTAAAATTTGCCTTTCATGGCCTTAACACGTCATTTCGGTCGAACTTCCATCACTGTGCTGTCACTTCCATTCCCGATAAGTTTTCGGTCGAACTTCATCACTATACTGTCACTTCCATTCCCGATAGGTTGGACAGATCGAACATTATTGAAAACACTTCATCGCATCTAAGTATTGCGTATTTACAGCTCAAAATCCATGGATTTGGTGTGCGGCGGCGGCGCTCGCAAAATCGCTCTGGTCCCACGCGGTGCAAAACACCACCGTTAACTCTGCTCACTTTTCCCCTCCAAAACAGTGGTCGAGCGAGGGAGGGGATCAGAGTAAATATGTCTAGAAAACACGAAATCCTCTGATTTTTCCTCTTTTCCTTCTTTCTTAACCCTTTGACGACCGTGTGGCCCGCCGGTGGGCCACACTTTCACTCGGAGGCGACTCGTTTTTCGTATTTATTTGGCATTTTTAATGTTTCAAAACTACCCATATACATTATCGGATCGCAAAATAATGCGCTAATTACTAATAATGAAATTGTTGGAGAGTTAATGATTATTGATGAAAAAATTTAAAAGAAGTGAAGTGACGCACGCATAACGGCGGTCGTCAAAGGGTTAATTTCTTATGCAT